CTCTTGATCAATGGCTTCTCTAATCACAATCAAGCCTACTTCCGTGGAATCATGTAAATTAAAGACCTTGAGCACATTACTCTAACTTCCTAATCATCCATTCAACTACTCCCGTGATGAACTTTAAACCCTTAATTGATTTATTCAAATCCGTTAAAACCCAACTCCCATTGCGATTAAAAACAAAGGATTAATAACAATAACAATTATCCCTAATCTAGTATTGGCATAAGCATATCAATTACAATTATTATTAGAGAATTTAAAGAATTAAATCATGCATTAATCATATTCGGGTTCCGCTAGATCTTGGAATAAAGAAACTACTCACACATATTAATGAAAGCAAAAACAATAATCAATGAAGAAAACATGATTAATAAGTAATTAAAAGTAAAAGAGAAAGTAAAGATGAATAACAATTACTTGAATGAAGAAAAGTACCAATTGTTGACGAACAAGGATTAAAACTTGAAAGTGCAAACTAATCTAGATCTAGAGAGAATATTAGGGTTCTAATGAAGGTTTTAAAGCTAGAAAATAATAACTAAGTATGTTTTAGTCGGGGTTTATAAAGGGTATTTGTATCCCTTAGTTAAGAAATCCCGAAAAAATAGGAAAACGGGGTCTTCGACACTCCGCCTGGTCAGACCGGGCAATGCTGCCCGGTCGGGCGCGACAGACAAACTCGCCCAAATGCTTCTTCACGTAGCCTCCTTGTGTAGTACCTCGTCTGCCCGGGCTGCCCGGGCAATGCTGCCCGGTCCGGGCGAACAAAAATTAAACTCTTCATACTTTCTCTCTTGTGGATTCTCTTCTTTCCTTCTTCGCCCTGGCTGCCAGGGCAATGTTGCCTTCCAGGTCGGACACGGGTAAAATTCTCTCCATCTTAATAAGCTCTCATGGCTATCCAAAACAAGTCCAAATCATCCGAAAATCTTCATGTGCCTACAAAATCAATTAAATAGACCAAGTCACACTAGAGAAGAGAATATTAGCAAGAAGTAGCTCCGTAGAGCTCAAAAACCATATGAAAATAGCTATAAAATGAGGGTGAAACAGGGTATAGAACGTGTACATCAATGTATATATATATATAATTTAAAAACATAATGTCAACTTTTAAGTGGTGTTTTTATTTTCTTATTCTCATTCTAGAAATTCCCTATATATATACGTAATATATAGACTGCTTGGTGATAAACTAGTGATATCACTAATATGTATTGATATAACTTTTGTACGACAATTGTTATAGAATCTTGGATTGATTGAAGAGTCTACAAATTAAAGGCCATTACCGTAGTTAACACCTCGGGAAGAATCTGTGAGCTCTTCCTCTTACTCTTCCATGGAGCTAAAGTCTAAGGATTTCGAGGTCTAGACAACTTCATCGAGTGATGTTGCGTTCATTAATTCATCTCCATAAGATGATCCATCCTTATTCAAATACCAGCATAAATCCATCTTCTTTTCTAGTTTTCCTCCCTTAGCTTGCAGTTTTTATTTCTTCAATGATCAACTATATATATATATATATATATATATATATATATATATATATATATATATATATATATATATATATATATATATATATATTTACTACAACATAATGTAACCTACCTTAAGGGCTTAAACTAAAGGTGCATTCCCAAAATTATACCTATATTGTTGGAAATTCAAGCAGTTTACTCTTAAATGTTGAAATCTCTCCTAATGTTAACATTTTAAATTTAATTATTAACATTTTCATTGCAAAAGTTAGAAAATGTTAAACAGTACATGTGACTTTTAATATGAAAAGTGGGAACTACTCCTCCATCAAGCCAATACTATGGCCATGTTTGGTAAATGACCTTTTGGTTAGCTTTTGGATTTTTTATGTGGTCGAACAACAATAAAAAAAAAGTGTTTGGTAATTGGCTTTTTAGTCAGCGAAAAAGCTGATTTTTAAGCCATAATAATAATAATAATAATAATAATAATAATAATAATAATAATAATAATAATAATAATAATAATAAATAATAATAATAATAAATAATAATAATAATAATAATAATAATAATAATAATAATAATAATAATAATAATAAAAACCTACTTTGATTAGCTTTTTTTTTTGTTGGCTTTTGGCTTGTTGGCCCACAAACTATCTAATAACAGCTAACTACCAACAATTAATTTACCACACTTTTATAAACAGCCAACTTAAACATCCAATTTCAAAAGTCATTATAAACAGCCAAACTTTCCAACTAGGCAAACAAGTCAGGTAAACCAGCCACCGTCAACCGCCAACAGTCATTTGCCAAACAAGGCCTATATCATCATTTAGTATTTTTTTTTAGAATAAAATTTAAATAGCAATGCAAAAACTAATATTAGAACACTTGGATAATACTACGTAAAATTTTCTCATGATCCAAACTCCTAGTCTAAATTGTATTCGACTTTAATCCATAAGTACAACATTTTTTTTTCTAACAACTCTTTAATTGTTTTTTGTTCATCTTGTAAAAGGAAAATGAGCTAGAGTTTTATTTGAAAACGAAGGAAATAATTTTTTTATTCATTTTTTTTTGGAGGGGGGCACGGTGGTGGTTTGACAAATCTTTTTGTTTATTCATTTGATTTATTGATAAAAGTTCACATTTAATTTTCCTCAAATAAAAACTAAATATTCACGGAAATTTGCGTGGGGATGTCCGGGCACGCAATAGCTTCTCTAGTATTAGGTGTATGTGGAATTGTGGATAGATGTTAACCACTTGAAAGTAGAGGTTAGACATAGTTTTTTAAACGGAAATTTCACCAAATGCCACTGACAAATTTAAAAATTCATCAAATGCCATTGCACTTTTCAGAATTCACCAAATGCCACTCACAAATAGTAAAATGTCACATCGTGCCATTAATGAGGTCTGGACATTAACAGTCCGTTATCACGAAATGACCTCTATGCCCTTATTGTCTTTTATGGCGCCCTAAAGTGCATTGACTCTCTGACTTCTAAAATTTAGATTAAAAAAAAATAAAAAAATTCCCTCGTTGTTCTTCTCAAACCTTTCCCTGTTCTTCGAGCTTTCAGCAACACTCAGACCTTCAAACCATAATCAAGGAAGAAGCTTTCTTCGAACACCTGAACGACAGACGCAACTACATTGACGCTTTATCGTTTGTTGAACTTGGGCGAACCTGAAAATCGGTGAATTGTACTCGGGGTACTACAAGGAAAATAGTTGAGTTCAAATTTTTTTTGGGGTGCTGGAAATAGCAATCAAGGTATTATTTTCCCTTTTGATCTTCATTTCGCGCTTTGATTCTGAATTTTTTATCGAAAATTGAGTTAGGGTTAGGGTTTTATGAAATGATCAGTTTTATGCGCTTATTTGACTTGACCTGTGTGATTTATTGTTAAAATTCATGTTAAATATGGCAATTTGTGGGTATTGATTTTGCTTTGATATGAATTTTGGGTTTGTGAAGTGCTTGAAATTCAATTTGGTCAATGTTGTGTTGGTATGTTGTTTGTGATATGACTGATGTGTTGGTATATGGTTGTGAATTTGAATGATGTGTGTTGATGTTATGTGTAATTTGTTGATGATAGGATGAGTAGAGTGTGGCTTGATGTCCATTACAGAGATCAGGGCTTTGATGTGTTGGTTGATGATACTGACATAACAAGTCTAATGGACTTGTATGAGTTTATGTTTGAGGATTCTGTGAAACAAAATGTGATTCTTCCCAAATGCTTCACTTTGTTTGTATTTCCACCTAGAACTAATAGGAAGTTGGAGTTAGCTGGGGATAGGGACATGCTTAAAATGTGGGAGTCGTTTCAAGGGAAGGAGACAGTAGAAATATTCTTGGAGGAAGAGCAAAGTCCTAGGAAGGTATTTAAGGATGCTGAGGCTAATTGGCAAAGAAGGGTTTAGGCCATGGCTGATAAAGCTAGATTGGAGGAGGAAAAGGCCAAGGCTGAGAGAGAGTTGGAGGAACAACAACCTTTTAAAGTTGCAGTTGAGGTGCATGTTGCTAATGTTGATGGTGGTGATATGGAGTATGTTAGAGTGTTTGACACTCCAGAAGCTGATGAGGTATTCCCAGGGGCATCTCAGCCTGAGCCTGAACAGAGTACTCAGCCTTCCACTCCACCTAAACACCCTCAACAAATTTCTCCTATGAACCAGCCCAAATCCTCAAGTGCAAGCAAAAAAAGGACTCCTCAAAAAAGGAAAAAACAACACCCAAAAAAAGGTCAACTGGAAGAACCCAACCCTCCCCTCAACCACAAACAACC